TTAGATTAACAAGCACAGAAAATACACAACCCCATACATACTAGACATTTTGAGAAAATCAGCCCCCAAATATATTTGGTCTTTGGTTAGGGGCCAAAGTGGGCAGTAAAAAAAAAACATTCCCCACTAAGAGTTACTATGGTATACAGAACATCAATTTAATACAGAATTTTTGATAAATCAAGATCACGAAGAACATATTATTTTTATAATTTGCTTTTTCATTTAATCATATATCATGGTCAACTTTCATTAATTTATTCACCAAATCTTTCTAATAATTCTATACCATTCTGTGTTTGTGTGTGTAAAACAGATGTTCTTTTTTTTTTTTCAATGGTTTCAATTATTTTATTTGAGAAAGGTAAAGAAATTCTTTCTCCTGGATAATTTCAAGAGAAGTAGTGAGGACAAGAGAGCATGTATGAATCCTATAGTCAAGTAGAGTTGGACAAGATTGAAGAAAATCAGTTCTACTACTTTATGGTGAAGAGATTTAGAACAAAAATCTTAACATCTGTTGCATAAACTCTTGGAAAACGTCTCTCCATAAATTGTCTACAATCTGTCCACTGGACGACATGTTGAGAGATTAGATCGATAAATAGAAATTAATTTCTACATGGCTTAAAAGGGTTAACAATATTTTGCAAGTATTGTGTAGCTGGATATACTAGTGCATAATACCATTAAAACATTATAAGCCACAAAACAAGTTGAGAGAAAACTCTAAATAAGTAATTTTTTTTTAAGATTCTAAGATTCTTATTTAATAATAAGGTTGTAAACAGAATATTAACAATTTTTAAAAAACCCAATAAATATGCTATTGAGTGATTGCTTACTATTACGTCTTTCACTTTTTTTTTTTATTTTACGAATAGTTTATTGCCAAATTAGTTTCTACATAACACTCAGTGCTCATCCCCAAAGTGCCCTCCTCCATGCCCATCCCCCCCCTACCCCCACATCCATCAGTCCTCAGTTTTTGTCAGCATTCAAGAGTCTCTCATGGTTTGCCTCTCTCCCTTTCCCCCACCATTTCCGCCCTTCTTCTCCCGCTTGTTCCTCCGTCAAGTTCCTCCTAATCCTCCTATACGTGCAAACATATGATATTTGTCCTTCTCTGCCTAAAACAGATGTTCTTAAAAAGTGAAAAGAAAAAGGAAGAGTAAACTACAGAACCGCACCACAACTAGCGACATCTCCCTCAAACAGCAATCTAAAAGCATTCAGAGAATATATATACTTTACTCACCATATTTATTACAGAAATAATTAAGGCTGTTTAAAATAAAGAGGGCCATGGGCGCACCTGGGTGGCTCAGTTGGTTAAGCATTCAACTCCTGATTTTGGCTCAGGTCATAAGCTCATAGTTCATGGGATAGAGCCTTGCATTGGGCTCTGTGCTGACAATGCAGAGCATGCTTGTGATTCTCTCTCTCTCTCTGTCCTTCCTGTCCTTATGCTTGATCTCTCTCTCAAAATACATAAATATTTAAAAAAAAACATAAAAAAATTTTTTTTTAAAACAAGGTCCTGTGGGGCACCTGGGTGGCTCAGTTGGGTGAGTGCCCAACTTCGGCTCAGGTCATGATCTCGGGGTTCTGAGTTTGAGCCCCATGTCAGGCTCTGTGCTGACAGCCCAGCAGGGAGCCTGATGTGGGGCTTTAACGCAGCTGACAGCTGTGCTGACAGCTCAACCTGCTTCAGATTCTGTGTCTCCCTCTCTCTCTACCCCTCCCCCACTCATGTGCTGTCTGTCTCTCTGTCTCAAAAATAAGTAAATAAATAAATAAATTTTTAAAAATAATAAAAAGAGGCCCCTGTACGTACACACAACACTGAAAACAAATCCCTGATGAATTTGCTTATCCACTCCTCTAGGCCAAAATTTATCATTATCAGTATTTTCAAAGTTTATTTTATTTTTTAAATATTTGTATTTGGGAGAGTGCAAGCAGAGGAGGGGCAGAGAAAGAGGGACAGAGGATCCAAAGTAGGCTCTGCACTGACAGGCTGACAGCAGGGAGCCTGTTGTGGGGCTTGAACCTGCAAACCACAAGATTATGACCTGAGCTGCAGTCGGACGCTCAACCAACTGAACCACCCAGGCACCCCAGTATTTTCAAATTTTAAAATAGCACTTAGGCAAGTACTACTCCACATCTGGAAGGCAATCAACATATTAGTATAGAAAATACTGCTTTCAGGGGCGCCTGGGTGGCTTAGTCGGTTAAGCGTCCGACTTTCGCTTAGGTCATTATCTCGCGGTTCGTGGGTTCGAGCCCCGCGTCGGGCTCTGTGCTGACTGCCAGCTCAGAGCCTGGAGCCTGCTTCAGTCTGTGACTCCCTCTCTCTCTGACCCTCCCCTGTTCACGCTGTCTCTCTCTCTCCTAGAAATAAAAAAAAATAAAAAAAAAAGAAAATACTGCTTTCAGGGGAGCTTGGGTGTCTCAGTAGGTTAAGTGTCCGACTCTGGATTTCAGCTCAGGTCACTATCTTACAGTTCGTGGGATCAAGCTCTGCACTGGACTCTGTGCTGGCATTGATGGCATGGAGCCTGTCTGAGATTCTCTCTCTCCTCTCTGCCCCTCCCCCGCTCGCACATGCATGTGTGCTCTCTAAATCAAAATAAAAAAAAAGAGCAAGCAAGCAAGCTGTGGCCACAGTGCCAGGTGTGATATAATGTAGATTAAGAAAGAAAATAGTGCTTTCTGGGTAGTAATTTATGATATCCGCAAGTTACACACGTATATTGACAAAACTATTGAGTTAACAAATGAAGAAGGGAAATTTTAAACTGGTGAAATTATGTACTGAATATTTCAGAGAACAAAAGTCAAAAGGATTAATTCTTGAACCCAAAATAGTTTCAAGTGCTGAAAAACTAAACTGAAATAGGTAACACAAGCATATTATAATAAATTTCTACAATGGTAAATAAACAGGCCTAAAGATTAGATCTCATATAACTTCCCCATGTATTAGGATTTCCTACCAACCCCAAAGATACAATTTTATTCTGCAAGTATTTTAAAACTAAATAAAATCAAAAATTCAACTAAATAAAATCAGTGTGATCATTAAAATGAAACTTTAAAAAAAGATAAAAATGAGACACATTTGAGCTATTGAATATATGTGCACAACAAATTTAAATTTAAAATTTGCACAACAATATTTAAGAAGAGGATAAAATAAAGCAATCAGCTCTAGTTAGCAGGTTTTTGGTACTATATACTGTCATCGTGTGGCTTAAAGATGAAGATTTACTTTAAAGTGATTTACAAACTGTAGAGTGCTGTGTGGAGATGTGTCTGTTACTGCTACCGTTGCTGTAGTTACAGAGTGATTTTAGCCAGGTGGAGAGTCTCTAGCAAGAGATTACTTGAGCTTTGCGGATTCATTTATGATCCAGAATCAAATTAGGAAAATAATTCCCTTTTAAGAAAGGAAATGCTACTAAATTCAATATGCTTCTCAAACATAATCAATGCAAACATACTATACTCATTCTTATATTCAAATAAGAATATATAGAGAAGCTAGTAAACTTTGGGTCAAATACGTAATATATATCTAGGGCTTTTAAAAAAATTTTTTTTAATGTTTTATTTCTGTCTGAGAGAGAGAGAGGGAGAGAGAGACAGCATGAGCAGAGGAGGGTCAGATAGAGAGGGAGACACAGAATCCGAAACAGACTCCAGGCCATGAGCTAGCTGTCGGCACAGAGCCCGACTGGGTCTTGAACCCACGAACCATGAGATCATGACCTGAGCCGAAGTTGGACGCTTAACCGAATGAGCCACCCAGGTGTCCCTCTAAGGCTTTTTTGAAAGCAGTATAGCAAAAAATGCTGATATGAAATGATTTCATAAACAGTAAATGAGTAAGAAAATGAATTTCAGAGACATTTTCTGAAAATGATGAAAAAGAGCACAGATGAAAATCAAGAGTAGGTCATTGTACAGGAACTGAGCTGGATATTCTCTCTAAGCATTGCAAGTATAAACAAGGAGGGAGAACAAGGAACAGGAAAGAAAAATATGGAAGAAATGCAATAATCAATTGAAAAAATGTTTTCTTTTTAAAAATTTATTTATTTATTTTGAGGGAGAGAGAGACCAAGGGGAGGGGCAGAGAGAGAGGGAGAAAGAGAGAATCCTAAGCAGGTTCCATGCTATCAGCATAGAGCCTGACATGGGAACTGATCTCACAAACCATAAGATCATGACCTGAGCCGAAACCAACAGTCAGATGGTCAACTGACTGAGCCACCCAGGTGCCCCAGAAAATAATTCTTCAAAAAGTTGCAATTAATCTGATTATTACCAGAAGCTGATCTCAAAGATTCTTCTGTAGCAGAAAATAGAAAGCAGCAGAGTATAGAAGTTAAGACACTGGTCTTTGGAATCCTTCATTTAACAAATGTTTATGAAGCATCTGCAATGGGCCAGACCCTGGCTTATGTACTAGAGAAACTGTGACAAACAGGGTCCTACTCTTAGGCACATTTAATTTTATGGAGGAAGACATTATTGGCAAATTAATAAGATCGCTCAAGATAGTGATGAGTTTTATAAAAAACTTAAATGAATATAGGGATAAAGTGAAAGTATGGCATTAGATACAGTGGTCATGAAATATTACATTTGATAATCCTGTGATTATCTTTATAATTGTAAATATTTTCTTAAAAGATACATTAACTTCACACCCCAGTGTGTAAAATCAGATGTAAATCAGGTAAGATATGGAATAATGTATACAAAACCATTTGACAATATAGTTCTCCTCAACATGAATGAAACAATAGTTTTCCTCCTTCCTATTGTTTTTTTCATCTGAGTATGAAGAATGTCAAAACAGCATGATCATCTCTAACACAGATATTTCTAAAACATTCTATCCATAACTTTCAGAAACTTACCACACACCAGCCATAGGGAAAAACACAGAACTAGAGAGAAGTTTAAGGCATCAAGAGTCCACTAACCTTAATCCATTGAACAATTGCTTAGATTTATCCAGAAGGTAACAAAAATCTGTAACTGTTTTCCTCTCTCCCTGTGGGATATCATCTTCAGCACCTCCAGAGGACATGATTTCTTTAAGAGCAAGTTCAGTTCTGTAAGAAAACATATATCCATTTACCCAGTAGGTAAAAATAACATGAGGAACATATCTTAATTATATTTTTTGACAGTATTTTTTTCAAGATAGATATAGAATTCTTCTGATTATAGTCAAATCATCAGAATAACCTAAGTGCACGATGGTATGGGAAAACACTCTCATACTGTCAGTAGGAATGCAAATTGGTACACTGTATTGGAAATATTATTTGAAGGCCTATTTCGTTGGAGGTACTCCTCCATCTAATTAAAATAAAAAATGTTCATCCTTTTGACCTATTTAGCTATTTGATCCATTCTGTAAATCCATCCTAGAAAATGATCTGAAAATGTAAAACACTTTATCCATAAAGATATTTATTTCAAGTATCATAATACAGTATTTAAAAAGTGGTAACAATCTAAAAGAACCAAAGAGGACCAAATATTATCAAGTGCTTCACAGAACACTAACAACTACACTCTACCCTATCACTAACCTAAATTTAAGATAAGATAATAATATGAAGGCACCTCAGTGTAAAAGGGATATAAAAACTATACACACACATGCATTAAAGCGATCTTTTATTGAATCCAAACTATCTTATGTCCTCAATCATGTTAATCAGCCATTTTAATTTTTTATTTTTCTATTTTGAGAGAGAAAGAAGGAGAGAGAGTGCATGGAAGTGGGGTAGAGGGGCAGAGAGAGAAAGAAAGAATCTTAAGCTGGATCCATGATCCTACAATCCTGAGATCATGACCTGAGCTGAAATCAAGAGAACACTCAACTGACTGAGCCACCCAGGGCCCCCTAACCAGCCATTTTAAAAACAGCAAGTTGCTAGGGGCACCTAAGTGACTCAGTTGGTTAAGCATCTGACTTTGGCTCAGGTCATGATCTCCTGGTTGGTGAGTTCAAGCCCTACAATGGGTGCTCTGCTGTCAGCACAGAGCCTACTTCAGTTCCTATGTCCCTCTCTCTCTCTGCCCCTCCCCTGCACTATCTTGCTCTGTCTCAAAAGTAAATAAACATTTTTTTAAAAATCTGTTAAAAAATAAAACATAAAGCTTAGCAAAATAAGTCAGGCAGAAAAGGACAAATATCATATGTTTGCACGTATAGGAGGATTAGGAGGAACTTAACTGAGGACCATGGGGGAGAAGAAGGGGGGAAATGGTGGGGGAAGGGGAGAGAGGCAAACCATGAGAGACTCTTGAATGCTGAGAAACAAACTGAGGACTGATGGATGTGGGGGGGAGGGGGGAGATGGGCATGGAGGAGGGCACTTGTGGGGATGAGCACTGGGTGTTATATGGAAACCAATTTGACAATAAACTATTTGTAAAAAAAATAAAAAAAAATAAAACATAAAAACAGCAAGTTGCTCGACATCATGTAAAGTATGAACCTATACTAAACAAACAAAAAAAAAAAATTCATTTGTTTTTACATACACAGAAATCCCTGGAACAACATAGGGAAATCTGGTCCCAATGGAGGGTGAAAATGCAGACCAGAGCCAGACACCAGAGATGAGAGTTAGGGTGTGGTTCAGTTATTTCGGTAAATATTTTTCTCCCCAACATTCTTTTGAATAGGCAACTGCGGTTACAGGGCAGAAAGATTGTTAGCAAGCCTGAAACCATCGAGGGCTGCAGAGTAACAAGTGGGTGCCGTGGAGCCAATGGGTGGGGATATGCACAGAGGGCACTGGGTGGTCCCTGCATGTTCATGGCTCCCTCTTCCCACCACTGCTTTCTGTACTCAGTGGGGCTAGGAGTTTTTAACAGATGGAAACAGACCTTGAAAAGTGCTGAGCCTTAGGAGTTTCACACTGTACTGACCATGGGTAAGTGCTCTCCCCCACTCCCTCCCACCTTCATTCTCTAAACCCAGGAGGAAAGGCATAAACTAGACATCAAAGCTGACGGTAGCTTTCTTCACCACACCTCAGATACCTCATGAGCTAAGTGGGCTAATATCCCCAGGACACAGGAGAGAAACAGAAAATAAAAGTTTAAAAATAAACAAACTGGGGCACCTGGCTAGCTCAGTCAGTTGATAAAGCATGCGACTCTTGATCTCAGGGTTGCAAGTTCAAGCCCCTGCAGGGTGTAGAGATTACTTAAAAATAAAATTGGGACACCTGGGTGGCTCATTCGCTTAAGCATCTGATTTCAGCTCAGGTCATGATCTCACGGTTCATGGGATCGAATCTCATGTCAGACTCTGCGCTGACAGTGTGGAACCTGCTTCGGATTCTGTGTCTCCCTCTCTCTCCTCCTCCCCTGCTCACTTGCATGTGTGCCCTCTCTCTCAAAAATAAGCTTAAAGGGGTGCCTGGGTGGCTCAGTCGGTTGAGCATCTGACTTCGGCTCAGGTCATGATCTCACAGTTTGTGGGTTCGAGCCCCACATATGGCTCTGTGCTGACGGCTCAGAGCCTGGAGCCTGTTTCAGATTCTGTGTCTTCCTCTCTCTCTGACCCTCCCCTGCTCATGCTGTCTCTCGCTCAGAAATAAATAAAACATTAAAAATTTTTTAAAAAATAAACTTAAAAATTTATATATAATCTTAAATATTCAAACTTAATAATGAAGGGTATTAGAAATAAAGCAGGAAGGGGGTGCCTGGGTTGCTCAGCTGATTAAGTGTCAGACTCCTGATCTTGGCTCAGGTCATGATCTCACAGTTCATGAGATCAAGCCCCAGATGGGGCTCTGCACTGACAGTGAGGAGCCTGTTTGGGATTCTCTCTGCCCCTTCCTTGTCCGCACACACATGTGGGATGTTCTTTTATTCTCCTCAGAAAATTTAATTAAAAAAAAAAAAAGAAAAAAGCTGGAAGAAAACATTATAATGAAGCAAATAAGAATACTGGGCATGAAAAATATAATCACTGAAATAAACTTAATGGATAAATGTATTGAAGAGCAGAAAGAATACAGATGAACAAATTAATACACTAAAATATCAGGCCAAAAGACATCAGGAAAAGGTAAAATACATAAAAGAAAAATCAAGAGATATGGAATAGAGAAATGAAAGTAATCAACATCCACATGACAGTATACATAGAAGGGAAAAAACATGCAGAGATGATGAAAAATATTTTCAGAAAGAAACTTCCATAAGCTTCTCAGATGTAAAGAAAGTATTAGGCCTCAAACCAAAAGGTCTCAAAGAAAAAAAAAAAGATAAAGAAATAACCCCACAGCTAGAAACATTCAAATGAAACAAGAATTCCAGAGAAGCCCTCGCCCCTTTCTGAGAGGTCCAGTCTGACAGCCAGTAGGTGGGGTGTCAGAGCACAGCACGTGTCCACACACAGGGCACAAACTGTGAAGAGACTATCCTGTGCACACAAAGGGCCAGTCTGCATGGGACGTTGGACCCTGAGTGAGGTGAGGAGGGTATTTTCATATGGAACAGTTCAGAGGCTGAAACAGATTTGTCATATATGGGAAGATTCATTGAATAAGAAAATCAACTAAGGACAAGGGGACCCAGAATTCTCTTTATAATAGAAGAGAGATACAAACATGAAAAGAGAAAGGTTAGGATAAACCCTGTGGAAGGTATGGGTGAACTGATGGGTCTTTTAGAATACAGACATTGGGGCACCTGGGTGGCTCAGTAGGTTGAGAGTCCGACTTCGGCTCAGGTCATGATCTCACAGTTAAAGGTTCAAGCCCCATGTTGGTCTCACTGCTGTCGGCACAAAGCCCATTTCAGATCCTCTGTCTCCCCCTCTCTCTCCGCCCTTCTCCTGCTCACGCTCTCTCAAAAATAAACATTAAGAAAAAAAGAGTATAGACATAATGTGTGTGGGGTATGTGTGTCTGTGTGTGTATACATGAGCATACACACAAGCATACTCCCCAGCTCTGTGAATCTATGTATTGAGAGGACCTTGGAGCAATAACACTTCCCAGTGGTAGGAACATACCTAGTCTCCAAATCTTGGTTTCTAATACCATTCTCCAATAAAGGGAACCAGGTATGTGTATATATATCCAAGGGAACCTCTGCATAACATATATATAAAACCACATGGGGGCGCCTGGGTGGCTTAGTCGGTTAAGCGTCCGACTTTCGCTTTGGTCATGATCTCGCGGTTCATGGGTTCGAGCCCCGCGTCGGGCTCTGTGCTGACTGCCAGCTCAGAGCCTGGAGCCTGTTTCTGAGTCTGTGTCTCCCTCTCTCTCTGACCCACCCTTGTTCGCGCTGTCTCTCTCTCTCTCTCTCTCTCTCTCTCTCTCCTAGAAATAAATAAAAAATAAAAATAAAAAAAAACACATGGACAGGCCTTGAGTACATTAGGCTAAGTGAGATAAGTCAGAGAGAGAAAGACAGACACTATATAATCTCACTTACAGGTGAAATCTAAATAAAAAAAAAAACTCATAGAAAGGGAAAATAGATTGGTGGTTGCTGAGGTGCGGGTGGGGTAGAGGAAATGAGTGAAGGTGGTCAAAGGGTCAAACTTTCAGTTATAAGATAATAAGTTCTGGGGATATATTATATACAGCATCGTGACTATAGTTAACAAGAATGAACTGTATATCTGAAAGATGCTAAGAGTAATTCTTAAAAGTTCTCATTATAAGAAAAGAATATGTGAGGTGATAGACGTTAGCTTACTGTGGTAACCATTTCACAATATATACATACACCTTAAACTACTAAAATGTTATATATTAATGCTACTCAATAAAACTGGAAAAATAAATTAAAATAAAAAAATAAGGGGCACCTGGCTGGCTCAGTCAGTTGCTACTTTTGATCTTGGGGTCTTGAGTTCAAGCCCCACGGTGAGGGTAGAGTTTACTTAAAAAAATAAAAAATAAATAAATAAAATAAAGCATTTAAGAAATGAAGAACATAGGATCCAGCTGAAAAAGCTCCTACTGGCCAAACTGGGGATAATTTCAGCATCAAAATAAATATTGACAATAATGGATTATAACCTATTTAATAAAGTAAGAAACCATGAAGCAATGGTGAT